AATGCATGTGAAAACGTCTCAATGTCAATTGCTTTGGAATGAATTCTTCTGTATGAAAAAAAAAATAAAAAAATAATGATTAAAAAAAAAAATCAGCTTCCATTTTTCTCAAGCCCTAATTGTTTGGTAGCTCTGCTGAGATGTTGCAACTATGATGCATGTAACACTACATGCTTCAGTTCTTCCAAGTAAAATGTCCAGACAGGGCTGACAACTGGAACACATCATGTAGCCTTAGTTGGCACTACAGTATATTAATAAGAGCACATCTCTGAATACAGATGCCTGAATATCAGCTTCCATTTTTCTCAAGCCCTAATTGTTTGGTAGCTCTGCTGAGATGTTGCAACTATGATGCATGTAACACTACATGCTTCAGTTCTTCCAAGTAAAATGTCCAGACAGGGCTGACAACTGGAACACATCATGTAGCCTTAGTTGGCACTACAGTATATTAATAAGAGCACATCTCTGAATACAGATGCCTGAATATAAAACTTGACTGTCATTCCCGGCATTTGATCCTTAACGTTTTTTAAAATGTTTCCTCATCTATAAAACGGAGTGCCTTAATCCACACCATAGGACTATTGAACACTTATTTAGAAAAAAAAAAAAAAAACTGACCCAGAACAATTATACTTCCTGTATAATTGATGTCTGTTTAATACATAAGGTCCTATGAGAGCAGAGACAACAAAGTTTCCACGAGCGGGAAACAAGAATGTAGTCCCACCTACAGGATAACCAGAATCTATGCCGTCCTCTGGACTTCACTAAGGAAAGGGTGTGTACCACCACTAAATTCTAGGATTCAATAATATAAGTAAAATTCTACCAACCAGTAAGATACCTCCTTGCCTGTTTCTACCTTTTGAGTTCCAACTATATTAAAAGGATTTCAATTCACGCCTTAAGTTCCCCTTTGACTTTGTGACCCTACTACATCTGCCTCTAAAATTTTTCCATAAAGTGAACGTTTTAAAAGGGGGGGGGGGGGCAATAAGTCAAATCCTAAGGATGGCGCCAGTTTTTTACACATTCTAAGTACCAGTGCCTCCAAGCTAGGGAGAGCTCCACCGCAGGACCAGGGCACTCATCTAGATGAGCCAAGCCGGCGGGCGCCTGCGCACACCACTGCCCCAGGGCGGGCCTAGGGCGCCAATACCACCGCCCCCTCAGGCGCGGCCTCCGCTCAAGCGATAAGTCAAATCCTAAGGATGGCGCCAGTTTTTTACACATTCTAAGTACCAGTGCCTCCAAGCTAGGGAGAGCTCCACCGCAGGACCAGGGCACTCATCTAGATGAGCCAAGCCGGCGGGCGCCTGCGCACACCACTGCCCCAGGGCGGGCCTAGGGCGCCAATACCACCGCCCCCTCAGGCGCGGCCTCCGCTCAAGCGTCCAGGGTCACAGCTCCCGGTCGGCAAGAATCAGCGCGGCCGTTCCCGCCGCCTTCCTCCCGGGGGAGACCACCTCGGGCGCCACCCGCACGCACTCCCGAGGCCCGTTCCACAGACGTACCAGCGAGCATCTGACGGAAGCGATGAGCCGAGAAACCGAGGCCTCCAGCCCCAGAGCCTTAAGCCTCCCGCCTTCGCACAGCCAATCGCAAGCCCGGACCGCGAACATGCGCAGTACTGCTCCGCTGCGCCGCGCTGTCAGCGGGCTCTAATCTTGCCGCAACGCTGCGCTTGTGCTTTTGGGCTTCCCTTTAACTAAATCAAGGTAGTCCCATTGACAGCTCAATCCAAAACAAACCAGTTTGATTCCGGTGGTAAGTGGAGGCTACGAACCACGTGTGTGGACATGAAATCAATCGGTAGGTTAAGGTGTGGGGTGGAAGTACAGGAATTGAGACATATGCATCGCTGAAGTACGCAAAATCCTTTAACTCGCTCACAAGATATTAAGTGAAGCCTACTGGGTATTTTCCAATCCCTTGTTATGTTCTGGGAGTATAAAAACGAATCAGCAATCACCGGACTCTTGGAAAAGAAAGCGTGCTCTTCCGGATTTAGGAAAGCACTAAAGGATTTTAAGCTAGATGTGACATCTGTCCCAGGGTATTTGCCAAGTGACTTTCAAGTTCATGGCAGTGACACCGACTGCCGGCTCTGAGAAATGTGGAATTAGGCATGTCTGAAAGGAGAATGATTAAATGTCGTTCGCTGTACTTTATCCAACAGTTTGACAAAAATTGAAAAGCTAAAAAAAAAAAAATCAAAAGGTTGAATGAAGATGTGAAATAGCAAGAACTCATGGTGCTGGTAGGAGACTAGATGCAGTCATTTAAGGAGTAATTTGAGAGCAGCTAGTTAAGGGAAGAAATGTGCTTTAAAAGCTTTTACCCTTGGCTAGGAGTGGTGGTGCACACTTTTAATCCCAGCACTTCAGAGGCAGAGGCTCTCAAATTACTCCTTAAATGACTGCGTCTAGTTGCCTACCAGCACCTCTGTGAGGAGGAGGCCAGTCTGGTCTACATAGTGAATTCCAGGCCAGCTTGGACTACAGAGAGACCCTGTCTCAAAACAACAACCACAAAAACCTTCTTTTAATCCTGGGGACTTTGCTTTTATTCTAGGGACTTTTCCAGTCCTTAGGAGATGCTACATAGTTTGAACCTGGCTGTTGACAACTCTCAGGGCCAAGGTTATAATACTTGGGAGTCTGGGGCATGCCACTGTGGGGTATCAAACTACACCACCAGCCTCTTTTTTCTTTTCACAAAAGAAGGGTGACAAGGAAGGAAACCAGCCCTCATACTGTCTGCAGCCTATCTTAATCTCATCTGAGTTCAGAAAACCCAACACACGTTTGGCTGCAGGCAGCTTCACATTCCCAGGTTTGTACCTGGTTTGCGCCCTGGCTTCATCCAGTTCACTACTTGTTTGTAACCTTGTCAAAGAAGCATTATCTGACCAATCTCACTCTTCACTTCATTACTCTGCTTTATAATTTTTCATCACGTTTTTCACTCCCTAACATACTTATTTTCTTTCTTTGTACTCCTCTCAGAATGTAATTTATGTTGAGAGCAGGCTTTTTGGCTTTTTGCCCTGCTATTCTTACATTATCTGAAAAAGCCTGAACTTCATAAATAGCACTCAATACATGGCTGAAGAGATGGCTCCGTGGTTAAGATTACACACTGCTGGTCTGAAAAAATGGCTCAGCAGTCAGGAGCATTGACTGTTCTTGAAGAGGACCAGGGTTCCTTCCCACCACCCACATAGTGACTAACAGTCATCCTTAACTCCAGCTCCAGGGGATCTGATACTCTCCTCTGACTCCAGGGACATTGCATATAAATGGTGCACTTATGTACTTGTAGGTAAAACATTCATATACACCATGTGAGGTGGCACATGCCTTTAATCCTATCACTCAGGACACAGAGGTAGGCGGATCTCTGTGAGTTTGAGGGTAGCCTGATCTACATACAAGTTCTGGGCCAGCTGGGACTACAGGGAGACCCTGCCTCAAAAATACCCAAAAAAACCTCGCTCATATACATAAAAATAAATGACTAAAAATGTTTAAAAATTTAAAGTTTGCACAGTGCTTTTGCACTCTGAGCATCCACATCAGGCAGCTGACAACCACCTATAACTTCAGTTCCAGGGAATCTGATGCCCTCTTCTGGCCTACCCCATACAGACACACATACAGAGAATTTGACAATATATTTTAGCCAGGTGCAGTGGCCCATGCCTTTAATCCCAGCACCGGAGAGGCAAAGGCAGGCAGATCTCTGTGAGGTGGAGGCCAGCCTGGTCTACATGGTGAGTTCTAGGGAGCTTGGGCTACAGAGAGACCCTATCTCAAAGAAAATGTATATTTTCTTCCATTTTAAAATTACTAAATAAATATTTGCTGAATAAAGCACTTTGTCATATCGTGGCATGCCATAATCCCAGCACAACATAGAGAAAGGAGACTCTGACTCCAGTAGAAGTTACAAAGCTATGGGATGCTCCCACTCACCAAATGCACGGAGTGCTTAGTAAATGATAGATGTATGCTTGATGATTTGATGCTTCCTCCCAATTGCTCAGAAGTAGAAAGCTTGCCTGACATGCACAAGGCCCTAGGTTCAATCTCCTGCACCACAAAAGATTTTTTTAAAAGCAGCATTTAGGGACAAATACCTAATAGAAGTATGCCAGTTGTGGTGGCAAACACTAGAATCCTAGCACTTGGGAGATAAAAACAAGATCAGGAGTTTATTATCCTGAGATACACAGGAGTTCAAAGCCAGTCTGGGATACATAAAACCCCATTTTAAAAAAAGAATTACCAACCCACAGGCGTCTCTCCAGGGTAAGTCCATTCTGCCCTCTGCACCTTGACACCCCCAGCCTCATTCACCTTCCCGTCTCTGCCTCCAGTCTCTCCTCCAAGTTTGGGCCCTACCCAATTCCTTGTCTTGTGGCCCCAGACACCAGGGGAACCAATTCTTCTCCCTAATCCTTTTCATCCAGACCAACATAGTGCTTTCTCTGGGCCCGAGGAGCACTGCTTCTGGGCCTGGCCCCACCCTCAACTCCCTTTGCTTCCCTGGGCCTGCACCACCCACCAGCTACTTTCTGGGACACTGGGGCTGACCTTTCCTCTTCCTGAACCTTTGCATCCAGACCAACCCACCTCCTCAGTGCAGTCCCCAGGAGGCCTTGGGGCCTCTTCCTGCCCCATCTGCCTTTGCATCTCTTGGTGGCACGGCCATGAGCTGCCCTAGACCAGCATCTTTCCTGGGCCAGGTTCCCAGGCCAGTCCAAACCCCAGATTCCTGAGACCAAAATCTTTCCTGGAGCGATCCAGACCAAAGGAGAAAGCCTGACAACATCTGACCCTCACCTGAATTGGGCCTCTGTGGGAACTCCTGGAGACAAAAGCAATCTGGCCACTCCAATATAAAATCAAAACAGAGAACCAGAAGCTTAGATGAACCAGCTTTTCATGCCCAAAAAGTAAACCACAAAGACACATAAAGTTCACAAAAAGAAGCAGACCTAGACTTGAAGGCCTGAGTCTCACACAAGAATCAGAAACTACAAAAGAAATTCACATGTCAGAATCACAGAGAAAAAAGAATAACATGAAGAACCAAAATAACATATCCCCACCAAATATCAATAGTCCTCTAGAGGAGTACATTGAGAACCACCTAGAGATAATGCAGGGCATGGAACTCAAAAGAACAATTATAAACATGATAAAAGAATTCAGTGAATTTAAAGAACACACAAAGAAAG